AGGCACAGATAAGAACGCTGTTTGTTGTATGAGTGTGTGACGTCACGTTGTTTTGTTTTGTTATCTCTCTCTGAAGCGTATAACCTCTTGCAGCGTAGCTACGCGAAGCATACATAAGCGAAACGAAAATGAGGATTGCAACCATTTGTATTTCAGAGAGCAGAGCAGACATACGGGCGCGCTTCGTTTCATTTCGCGTATGCGAGTGAGTGAATTTTTGTATCGTTCGATTTGTTTTAAAATCGACAAACAGCCGACTACAAAAACTTACGCGAAATTATATTCGTTTATTAAAAATATTTCGCAAGCAATGTGCCGTATTGCATCAACCAAGTGAAATTAAAGTCAGCACAAAAAATAATAAAAATAAATAAATAAAATTACTCACACTTACACGCGCGCACACGCACACAACAGAGAAACGAATGAACACAGAAAAGGCAATGAAAATGCCAATCGTGAGCTAAAGTCAAATAGCAGTTAGTAAAGTGAATAAATAGCAAGAACTGTGATAATTGTAAAGCTGGCAAGCAGTGCATAAACAACATTTGGAACCCCAACAAAAGCAACAAACAACAAAATGGTTAGCAGCAGCAACAATACGAATGGTGTGGATGGCAACAAAATAGTTAACGGTCTCCTAACGGCACTTGCGACCACTCCTGAGAGCAGTAGCAGCAGCAGTGGCAGCAGCAACAACAACAACACCAACATCAACATGGACGCCTCGTCGGCTTCGAGTGCAGCTGTGACGCCCGCATTGACTGTGTTTACATCAGCCACGTCCAGTCCTTCCGCCATGTCCACGCCCACAAAGGAAGCRCAGATGCTGCGCACAATTAGGGAGAAGATTCTCCGAACGCCCGGCGGCGTATGTGAGCTGCATGCTTTGAGTTTTGCCGAGCAGACCAACATCAATGGCGGCAGCATTAGCGCGTTTGGAGCAGGCGTGGAACAGCCTGTGAGAGTGATCAAGAACCGCTATGTGATTAGCGCCCAGCCCAATCACATCTCGGCCGCAGCAGCAGCCAAAACACCCGCCTCCTATCGCCATCTGATCGACCTGACCTCATCGAACCTGCAGTGCATGGACGTCTACAATGGCAGGCAGTATCCCTGTAAGATT